CCTCCCTCGTCTCCGCGCTATGTCCAGTCAGCGTCTTGTCTTAGGCCTCCCCCGCGACCTCCCGCTGCTCCCGCCGTCCCCCGCTCCTCCGTGCGGTCCTTGTGTCCACGGTCGGCTGCGCGCCACTCCTCACTCCTCCTCCCTTCGTCCAGCCTCCGAGCCCTTTGAGACACTCCACTTAGACGTCTGGGGCCCCGCTCCCCGGCTTGGACCTGAGCGAGAGAGCTTCTTCCTAGTGGTCGTTGACGACTACTCTCGGTACACCACCGTGTTCCCTTTGGCGAAGAAGTCCGACGTGACTTCTACGCTGATCCGGTGGCTGCTCGCCACCGAGAGTACTCGTCGTCGTCGTGTCAGTTGTCTCCACTCCGACCGTGGGGGTGAGTTTCGCTCCGGCATTCTCGCCAGATTCTGTGCTGAGCAGGGCATCACCCAGTCCTGGACTCTTCCAGACTCTCCACAGCAGAATGGGGTTGCTGAGCGCCGGCTAGGCCTGGTCATGGAGATTGCCCGCACCTCCATGATCCACGCCCGCGCGCCCCATTTTCTGTGGCCCTACGCGGCTCGGTACGCCGCTCACCAGCTGAACCTCTGGCCTCGCGTCTCTCGGCCAGGGGCTTCACCGACCAGTCTTTGGACAGGGTCCCCTGGTGTTGCGTCGAGGTTTAGTGTCTGGGGCTGCTTGGCGCTTGTCCGCGACACCTCTGCGGACAAGCTCTCACCTCGCGGCGTCCCCTGTGTCTTCCTTGGTTTCTCTCAGGCCTCCTCTGACTTCACCTTTTACCACCCTCCCTCCCACCGGTTCTTTGACTCTCGTGACGTCAGTTTCGACGAGTCCGTCCCCTACTACGTCCGGTACCCCTGTCGAGGTCTCCCGGTTCCCCCCCCTCCCCTCTTCCTCGCCCCAGCTCCTCCTCCTCCCGCTCCCTCTCCTCCGGTACCCCCCCCCGGTTCCCGCTCCGTCAGGTGTGTCGCAGGCTACCCCCCCTCCCTCGGTCCCCCCCCAGGTCTCTCCTCCTTCCCCACAGTCGTCCTCACAGCCTCCGCAGCAGCCGTCGGCGCTTCCTCTACCGGCCACTGCGGACTCTGAGGGTGTTGGTGCTCGAGGTGAGGGCTCTGGCGGTGCTGGTTCTGGGGGTGTTGGAGTTGGAGCTGAGCGTGCACCTGCCGCAGCTGCACGTCCCGAGCGTGTTGGAGTCGGTGGTGGTGCTGGAGCTGGTGGTGTTTCTGGAGCTAGAGAGTCTGGGGCTGGTGCTGGTGCCAATGGCGGCGCCACGACTGGGGGTGCGGGTACACCTCCTACAGGTACTAGTCGTGCTGCCACAGGGGGGTCCTCGCTCTGGGGGTGCTCAGCCGGGTCCTGTCGAGGGTGGAGCCGGTTCTTCTTCGTCGTCTCCTGACACCACTCCTCCTCCTCACCCCTACCCGACTCGTTACCAGGCCCTTTGTCGTCTAGAGCGTGAGGAGCAGCAGCGTTTGGAGCGTGAGAGGTCGGAGGTTCAGCAGCGGGTGGAGCGTGAGCGGTTGGAGTTTCAGCAGCAGCAGCAGCAGCAGCAGCAGCAGCAGCCGCAGCCACAGCCACAGCAGCAGCAGCAGCAGCAGCAGCAGCAGCCGCCGCAGCTGCCGGAGCAGCCTCCGGCCCCTGTTTCTGGCCTTCGGGCCCTTGGTCTCCCCTCCTCTCCTCCTGTGTTCGGTCCCACGTTTCCTCCTCCGGACTCCACTCCGGCTGTCTTCCCTCGTTCTCAGTCTCCTCCGTCCCCCCCTCCTCTCGCCCACACTTGGGCCTCTCGCCCTCCTCGTGCTCGTCCCTCGTCCCCTGTCACTGACCTCCGTACCGTGTTGTTTCGTCCTCGTCCTCCTCGTTCTCCTCCGTCTGTCCTTCCTCGTCCTCCTGAGTCTTCCCTCACTGCCTCCCTGTCCACTCCGGTCACTGACTACTACCGCACGTACCGCCCCACTCTCTCTCGTGTTCTCGCCTCTCTTGTTACAGACCCTCGTGCCTCTCCTTCCTCCGTCGCGGTCCTCACTGCCGCTGTCACTGACTTTACTGCTACGCGTCGCCTTGACTACGCCACTCGAGTTGTGGCAGCTCCTCCTGTCCGTCCTCTGTCCGCCGGGGGTGTGTGTGCCCTTGGCTGTGACGTCCTAGAGGACAGACAGTTTGAGCTAGAGTTCCTGGCAGCTGCTTCGCCTCATCTCTGTGCCATGCTGCTCACTCCTGAGGGAGACCCCGACGCTCCTGACATACCTACTCCTCGCACTTACGCTGAGGCAGTGTCAGGGCCTTGGGCCTCTCAGTGGAGAGCTGCCATGGACGCAGAGATGGCCTCCTACAGGTCCACAGACACTTACGTTGACGAGGTTCCCCCCCCAGGGGCGAACATTGTTGACGACATGTGGATCTTCAAGGTGAAGCAGCCGCCGGGATCTCCCCCAGTCTTCAAGGCACGCTACGTGGCTAGAGGGTTCAGTCAGCGCGAGGGGGTTGACTTCTTTCAGACCTTCGCGCCCACCCCGAAGATGACCACTCTTCGGGTGTTACTGCACGTTGCAGCGCAGAGAGACTACGAGCTACACTCTCTTGACTTCTCCACTGGCTTCCTCCAGGGCTGCTTACACGAGGAGATCTGGCTGCGTCGTCCTCCGGGCTTCACTGGCACTTTCCCGCCTGGGATCCAGTGGAGCCTCAGACGACCGGTCTACGGTCTCCGCCAGGCACCCCGTGAGTGGCACGACACTCTCCGCTCTACTCTCTCCGCCCTCGGGTTTGAGCCGTCTTCCGCCGACCCGTCGCTGTTTGTTCGTCGTGGCCGTACACTTTTCTTTGTCCTAGTCTACGTTGACGACTTGGTTTTTGCCACGGCCGACACAGCTGCACTGGCGGAGGTGAAGTCCGAACTGCAGAAGAGACACACCTGCACTGACCTTGGGGAACTGCGTCGCTACCTTGGCCTGCAGATCTCCAGGGACAGAGCCGCTCGCACCATCACTCTCACTCAGTCACACATGGTGCAGCAGGTTCTTCAGCGGTTCGGGCTTCAGGACTCTTCTCCTGCCCCCACTCCTCTTGCTGTAGACCACAGACTCACTGGGCCTTTTCCTGACGAGCCGTTCGAGCCCAGTGGTCCCTACGCAGAGCTGGTGGGCTGCCTCATGTACCTGATGACGTGCACTCGCCCGGACCTCGCCTTCCCCCTTAGCATCTTGTCTCGCTTTGTTGCGACTGGGAGACACCGTCCTGTTCACTGGGCGGCGGCTAAGAGGGTGGCGAAGTACCTTGGCGCGACATCAAGCATGGGGCTTGTACTTGGAGGGACACAGCCAGTTGTACTCACCGGTCACTGTGACTCTTCCTACGCTGACGACGTTGAGACTCAGTGGTCTACGCAGGGTTACTGTTTCAGCCTGGGTTCTGGAGCTGTTTCGTGGAGGTCTACTCGGTCCTCCTCTGTTGCGACTTCTACCGCAGAGGCCAAGATCTACGCTGGGGCCCTTGCTGCTCAAGAGCTACGCTGGTTGACCTTTTTGCTCACTGACCTTGGTGAGCGGCCGAGCTCTGCACCGACCCTGTTTGCTGACAACAGGGCGATGATTCTCCTGTGTCGTGAGCCTCGACTGGAGAGCCGAGTGAAGCACATCGACGTCAGGTACTTCCTCCTTCGAGAGTTGCAGAGACGCGGACAGGCTCGTCTGGACTTTGTGGCCTCCGAGGCCAACACTGCAGACATCTTCATCAAAGCCCTCCAGCCTTGTGACCACCGTCGGTTTTGTCTGCAGTTAGGCCTCGTTGAGACTGGGTCTAGTTGACTGCTGTAGGGTGCTCTTTGTCTGTTGCTTGCTTGTACCTTATATATATATATATTTGTTTGCACACTTTTGGACTGGCCTTGTGGCCCTTTGCTTGTGCTCAGATTAGGTGGTGACGTTGTGATCCACCCTGAGCTTTGTTTTCTTTCTCTTGTTTTTGACTGGTCTTGTGACCGTAGGTTGCTTGTTGTTAATTGGCCTTCCCCACTTAGGCTATGGGGGTGTGTCAAATATTATAGCCTGTAGTGGGTTGGGCTATATGGGGTACAACTAGTTAGGGTTAGGTGATGTACCCCAATTCTGTCAACACAACGCATTCCGCTGTAGTTCTCATTCTGACAGGTTTTGTGTCACCCCGCCCCTTTCCCCCTTTGGCTATGGCTCGTTTACTAAACCCATGTCTCGTTTTGCCTTGCAGGCATTGACAAAAAAAAAGCCGTGAGGGAGCTGCGCACACTGTGTCCGGTCCTTGCGAGAGCCCCCAAGAGCGAGCGCAAGTTCCACACGGGACTTTGTGCGATGCTCAGGACACCCGACTGGCAGCAGGCGTACCCCAACCTGGTCGGACTGTGGGTGGCGATTGCGGTGCTGCCTCTCAGCACGGTCGAGTGCGAGCGCGGTTTCTCCCGACAGAATCTCATCAAAACGTGGCAGAGGGGCAGCATTAAGGACTGTAGGCTGAGTGATCTGCTCTGTATTTCACTCCTAGACTATGAGCTAGATGTGCCAGGAGTTGTAGAGATATGGCGCAGCTACAAGAAGCGCCGGCCGGTCACAGCACCTGCTGCAAGGCACAGAGAGGAGCCCTCGTGGGCTGGGAAGGAGCCTGTAGACGAGGCAGTAGTAGAACGTGAACCTGTATTAGACTATCAAGAAGAAATGTAAGAAGGTTACTTAGTGTTTTCATTATAACAGGAAAATTGACTGACTCTGTATGTTCAGCGTAGAAATGCAAGTGTAGTCTGAAATCTCAGACTTCAAAAAATCAGGTCACTCTGACAGCCAGACTAGGAAGAGCGGTGTACTCTGAGGCCTCAGACTACCTCAAAACGAATCTAGGGGCCTGTTCTCTACCCACAACACGCTGCCACGCAGCATGGAACAGTTGCAATTGCTCGCACCTGCGACCAGCACCACAAAGGACCAGCATACAGCTTGTTCGAACCTGTGACCTACCTTCCTCTCCCCCTCACTCACTCCTCACTCACATCGCCCAGCAGCCCAGCCCCAGCAGCAGGTACTGGCAGCGGCACCACGGAATTGTAGTGCTCTCCCAGACCATACGCATGGCGGTGGAATGACACTCGGATAGGCGCAGGACCAGCAGAAGCAGCAGCAGCACCGCTGCTAGCTCCTGCTCCTGTCACTGCGCTGTCTGCTGCTGCTGCTCCTGCTGCTGCGGTTGCCCCTGCCCCGCCCGCTGCTGCTGCTGCGTCTGCGGCTGCAGGAGCGTACTCCAATCCCAGGTTGACATCTGGCAGGTCGGCTGAGTAGACGACGATGTGGCGCCGCAGCGACTGTGCCAGCGCCTGCAGCTCCAGCTGGCCGCCCCACGCTGCAGTGTGCTCCACCTCGTGACAATAACGAAGGAACATCCGCCTCTCCTCCGGTTCAGACTCCCACTCAGCAGCAGCAGCAGCATTTGCTGCTGCAGATGAGAAGCTTCCACCCACTCCGTCTATTCCTCCTCCTGCCCCTGCTGCTCCTGCTCCGTTATCCCCATACGGGTGCAGCTCACCTGAAGCCAGTTCCGCCACCACAAACGGCATGAAATCCTCCGCATGCGCACGCATGTACTTCGCCGCCACCGCTCTCAACCCCCAGAAATCCATCCCATCTCCGCCAGACCCACCCACCGCTCCCGCCGCGCCCATACCCATCCCCTCACCAGCCATTCCCACTCCCACTCCTCTCAACTGATCTTCTACTGCGCGGAACAGGCAATGGCCGTCCGGCTTGACTTCTCTTAGGGTGAGCCCGAGGGGCGATAGCTTCGCCGCTAGCCGTTGCTCCTCCACCACTCGCTCGCTCACCAGCCCCTCCTGCTCCTCCTCGATCCGCGCCGCCCGCTCCGCCTCCTGCCGCGTCTTCTTCTCCCGCCGCTTCTGCGCGCGGGAGACTCGCGGCGCCTCTGCTCCTGCTCCTCCTCCTGCTCCTGTTGCTCCCTCACTTCTTCCACCGGGTTCTCCGGAAACGGCAAGGCCGGCGACGCCCGCGGCCGCCGCGTCGGCTGCTGACGTGGCGGAGGCCGCGGAGGCAGCGAGCTCGTCGAGTTCGCGCTTATGACGGCCTTTCATCTCGGATTCTAATGCTTGAACCTTTTCCTCTACGGCTTTCTTCTTGGCTTTTTGCTCCGCCTTGCTGCCCTTCGCAGCCGCTTTCTTCATCGCCATTTCTTTCTTGACTAGGTCTTTAGCCTCCGCCCTGCATTGCGCGCGGAAAAGATCAACGGGACGCGTGGGCAGAATAGTTGAATACGTGTTTGGGGGAAAAAAAGTAGAATGAAGAGGGAGAGGCGGAAGGAAAAGCGATGCTTGTAGGTTGCTAAAGGGTATGACGAGTCGATTTTGTGCGCGGCGTTTCGGGATTGGAGCGGGCGATTCGATGGCGATGGTAGAACGACGGAGCAATTGTCGCAGCCCTGTGTGTTTCGAGTCGCCTCAAAACGTGTTTAAGTTGACTCAAAACACACCTCGAGATTGGAGGGGCGCTTCGATGTTATAATGACGAATCGATTGTCGCAACCCGCTGACCGATCCGACGGCAGACAGGCATGGGTGATGAAAAAGAGTAGAAAGCAACGAGGGAACGGGAACCACGAGAAGTAAGCGCAATGCCTATCGACTTGCGCGCCGGTCTCAAAGCGCGACGCGAATTTTGGCATGGCATTATTGAATGTCGGGACCTACCTGTGCCGCTCCAGCATTTCTTCCCTCGTTTCGGGCGGACGAGCAGGCGCAGCGGGAGCCGCCGAATCTGCGCCTCCGTCGTCGCCATCAGCAAGCGCCGCTGACGCCCGGGAGGCAGCTTCGGAATCTTCCGCCATGGCAGAGACTCAAGGACTGGAGGGACTTGGGTGACTAATCGTGTCACCCAGAAGGCATTCTGTGTGTGCCTGGAAAATGCCCAGTAGTGAATATCTAGAGATTCCAGCTCCAGATAGTTTGCGGGGACAGGGGTTTGTTTAGGGCGCGTGTGATCTATTTTCAAGTTCGGAAAAAAAGTCGAACTTTTTGTGGTTACCAGCTTCGCCAATGTCGTCAAGACGCTTTGGCGAAGGCACGAGAATTTTGGGGGCACATAAGTGCGAATGTCAAATGTGAACTCAACTCGAATCACACGGGTGAACGTGCGGGTGCACGTTAGGCGAGTGTGTGTTGTTTTCAGCACGTACGAAGGCCATCCGAAAATCACGACTGCTTTGCGAAGGTCGCGGAGTTTCGTCGCACAATAAGTTGACGTGTCGTGCTGTACCAGGTAGCCTACACCCCCTACGGGCGGCTCGCCGCCTTCCCTAAAAGGTCGAATCTCTGTGTTCGACCTTGGGTGTGTGATTGTGACTCGTCTGTGTTGGAGACCCAAGATTCGAACTTCGCTGCAAGGAAAGTCGAGTTTTGTTCAAATGCTACATTCGACCTAAAAACATAAACTTTCACAGATTTGTAAGACCACACGCGCCCTTATGGGTGGGAAATGAGTAGGATTCGACGGGAAACCAAACTAAAGATAAAATCTCGGGTCTGTGTACTATCCAGGGAGAATTTGTTTCGCAAGGCCGCTTTTATCGAGTCGAACCATCCCCGTGTGTCTGCGTTCGCTGCATAACACCCCCAACCATTTGCGCTGCTCTTGTGCTAGAGTCCGCTCGAAACAGTCACACCCCGATCAATCAAGCATTGGTTTCTCTGGGATCAGCCCCTAGATTTTCGTCTCAGGGTCAGGGTTCAATCCCACGGGAATACAATCCCAAGGTGGAATTCCTAGGCAAAGCCAGCGCCATAGCGCCAACCAGGAATCACTCAAGTATTTCTCCTCAACTCTAGTACTACCACCACATATGCTCCACTCCTATACTTTCCCCTCTGCGCGCCAACTTGCATTCCGCCTCGCCGCGCCGCGCCAGTTCGCCTCTCGCGCATTGCCTGCGGGTCGAGTGCTGGCGGAAATGGCGGGAGGCTCCGCGCCGGACAGCAGCGCGACCCACGACGAGGCGCAAGTGCCGACGAAGCAGGTACACGGCAGCAAGGCCGCGTCATGGCAGCATACCACTCTTTAGTTCGGCGATCACTGCATTGCCTTGGCTACATTCCTTACTCCTTCCTTATCGTGTTTCACGCAAGAACTGAAGCCCCTAATTACTCCCCGTTTCCCCTTCTCCTCTCTTCCCCCCTCCCCCCCCCACCCACCCATCCACCTCCTCCCCTTTCCTCCTTCCCCTCTTCCCCTCCCCCACCCTCCTCCGTCGCCTCATTCTCCCCAGATCTCGTCTCGCCTGGCCAAATTCGGGCCGACGGTCTTCGCCGAGTTCTCCGCGCTCGCCGCGAAGCACGGCGCCGTGAACCTCGGCCAGGGCTTCCCCAACTTCGACGGGCCGTCCTTCGTCATCCAAGCCGCGCAGGCCGCCTTGCAGGCCGGCAACCTCAACCAATACGCGCCGGTCGCGGGCGTCCCCGCGCTCACCGCATCCATCGCGTCGCGATTCTCGGAATCCACGGGCGTGGAGATTAACGACCCCGCGCAGGAGATCACCGTGACGTGCGGATGCACGGAGGCCATAGCGGCGACGATGTTAGGATTAGTAGACGAGGGCGACGAGGTGGTGGTATTCGAGCCGTTCTACGACTCCTACATCGCCATGCTCTCTCTCGCCGGCGCGGTCGTGCGCCCCGTCACGCTGCGCCCGCCCACGTGGCAGCTGGACGAGCAGGCGCTGCGCGCGGCTTTCCAGCCGTTGAAGGAAGGCGCGCGCACGCGAGCAGTGCTAATCAACACGCCGCACAACCCCACAGGAAAGGTATTTTCCCGCGCGGAGCTGCAGTTGATCGCGGAGCTGTGCCAGCAGCGAGACACCGTCGCGGTATCCGACGAGGTGTACCATAAACTCGTCTACAAGGCGCCCTCCCCTGCCGCCGCCGCCGCCGCTGGTTCCGATTCCACTGCTGGTGCTGGTGCTGCTGCTGCTAGCGAGGGCCACATCTCAATAGCGAGTCTCCCAGGAATGTATTCCCGCACCGTGACCCTCAATTCCCTGGGGAAAACCTATTCGCTGACGGGCTGGAAGGTGGGGTGGGCCGTGGCGCCCCCGCATCTCACATGGGGGCTGCGGCAGGCGCATTCTTTCCTCACGTTCTCTGTCGCCACGCCTCTGCAGCACGGCGCGGTGGCGGCTCTAGAGGCGCCGGAGTCGTTCTATGAGGAGCTGGAGAAGGAGTATAGGAACCGGCGAGACGTTCTCGTGCAGGGGCTGCTTGACGTGGGCTTCACTGTGTTTGAGCCCGAGGTATGGGTGCTGTGCTGTGCTGTGCTGTGCGGAGGTGTAGGGTGCTGTGATGTGCTGTGCTATGCCCTGCTGTTCTGTGTCGCGGTGCCTGCTTGGAAGTCGTTTTGTCTGCTTGCCATGGCACTGCTTGCGCCTGCCTCATTCCTCCCTCATTACCATCACCATTCCTATTTCCACCACCACCACCACCACCACCACCACCACCACCACCACCACCACCACCACCACCACCACCACCACCACCACCACCACCACCACCACCACCACCACCACCACCACCACCACCACCACCACCACCACCACCACCACCACCACCACCACCACCACCACCACCACCACCACCACCACCGCCACCACCACCACCACCACGACCTCCATGGCAGGGCACGTACTTCATAATGGCGGACCACACGCGGTTCAACCGGGGCTCAGACGTGGAGTTCTGCCAGTACCTGGTGGAGCACGTGGGTGTGGCCGCCATCCCCCCCAGCTCGTTCTACCTCAACGTGCACGAGGGCCGCAACCTCGTGCGCTTTGCCTTCTGCAAGGACGAGGACACTCTGAGAGAGGCCGTGCGGAGGATGAAGGAGAAGCTTGTTCTGCCGCCAGCAGCCTCCTCATGATGATGCTGCTGCTGATGATGATGATGCTGATGATGACGCGGGCAGGGTCGGACGCGTGGTGCGATGCAGATTTAACATCCTCTGAGAGTACTGTATTCGTTAGGCGATCTTTCAGTTGTCTTACTAGACACATGGGGGGAGTAGACCTGCCTGGTAAGGCAACAGGAGAGCATAGAAGTCTGCAATATTTTATACCAGTATAAGGCTGCTTGCAGGGTGCACAAGTGTTGGGCTGAAAAGGCCCTTAGGATCTTTGCAGGGGTGAACTCTGGGTAGGACTGATGTAATAGCGGAAGCGTTTAGTGAAGAAGTGTGAACCACCTTGCGCTAGTATGTGAGGGCAAAGTCGATTGATTAAAGCAAAGAGATACAGGATTATATATGAGCACAAGGGATATGAAGAGGTACGGTTATAACTACTTTACTGTTGCTGTTGCGGTTCGATACAGTGACGACTCGGGCAACTGCTCTGTAGCGAGTCAGTTGTGTGTCCTTGCTGTCGCGCTGTACTTGTCAGGTCAAAGGTTGCTGACCTTTGACTTTCGTGTAACCTCCAGCAGTTACTTCAACCTCCGAGGGTTGACTCGCTGGTGCCTTGATATGCTTTGCTTCGCTTGTGCTTTGGTGTTTCGACACGACAGAGGCGCTTAAGATCAATTGTTTCCAACAAGTACCCAGGCTCGAGTCTTTCTAAAAGCTCAGACCTCTTTCTCTCCTGCCCATGCTGAGGAGCACAGGAACAGAACCCACGTGTGATGAGGCAATTTTCGACGACTCTAAAATCATCCGAGTACAACAAGACAGCCTAGCAATGCTACCATGCCAAACCATGCTGGCCTGTTACCGGTGCCGAACCAGCTTCTTTCACCACCATTACGATGCATTACGAAGCACACCACCACATCACAGTGTCAAGAATGAAAGTGTTGTATTATTAATGAGGGTTGGGGTACATATAGCAAACCCTAACATTTGTAACCCCCAAGACAAACCTCACTACAGGCTACAACATTTGACACACCCCCATAGCCTAAGTGGGGGGTGTCAAGCAAAACCAAAAGTGTACGGTCACAAGACCAGTCACAAAGAAGCAAAGCTCAGAGTGGATCACAACGTCACCACACAATCTGAACACAAGCAACAAGGGCCACAAGGCTAGTCCAAGAGTTCACGAAGGTGTATGGCAAGAGTACAAGCAAAGGAAAAAGTAAACTCAAGCCTACACACGACTAGAACCTGTGTCAACAAGGCCTAACTGCACACAACACCTCTGGTGGTCACAAGGCGGAAGCGTCTTGGTGAAGATGTCTGCAGTGTTGGCCTCGGACTCCACAAACTCGAAGCGAGCCTGTCCACGTCTCTGCAACTCACGCAGAAGAAAGTACCTGAAGTTAATGTGCTTCACTCTCCTCTCCAGTCGCGGCTCTCGACAGAGGAGAATCGACACCTTGTTGTCAGTGAGCAAGGTCGGTGCAGAGCTCGGCCGCTCACCAAGGTCGGCGAGCAAGAAGGTCAGCCAACGCAGCTCCTGTGCTGCCATAGCACCACCATAGATCTCAGCCTCAGCAGTAGAGGTCGAGACCGAAGAGGAGCGCGTGGACCTCCACGAAACAGCTCTAGAACCCAAGCTGAAACAGTACCCCTGAGTAGACCTGTGAGTCTTAGCGTCGTCAGCGTAAGAAGAGTCGCAGTGACCAGAAAGTACAACAGACTGCTGCCCTCCAAGAACTAGCCCCACGCCTGATGTCGTCGCTAGGTACTTCGCCACCCTCACAGCTGCCGTCCAGTGAACAGGACGGTGTCTCCCTGGTGCAACAAAATGAGCAAGGATGCTGAGAGGGTAGGCGAGGTCCGGGCGAGTACAAGTCATCAGGTATATGAGGCAGCCCACCGGCTCTGCATAAGGACCACTAGACTCAAACG